ATAATCTTTTGGGGACTTCCGTGCCTGGCTGTGCTCTCCCGGTAGTTGGAGGCTGTGAAAGGATGGTTCTCCCATCAGCCTCACAGGGCCTTGGGTCGTTTCCAGTTTTTCATTATTGTTGATAATGTTAGGATTATGATTTTTATATTGAAGGCCCCTTTTTTCATATTCTCAATTATTTTCTCTGCAGTTCCCCAGAAGTGATATCACTGCATCAGTAGGTATGAATATTTTTGTCACTCACAATATGTGCTTCCAAATTGCTTCTCAGTGGGGCTGTACCAAAACATGCTACCAGAAAGATCTTGCCAGCACCGGGGTTTATGATTGTATTTAGTGTGTGCTAATTTTACAGGCACAGAACAGTAACTCATTATTTTGCTTCAGATTTCCAGCCAGGCGGAACAATCCTCTGTATAGATTGTTTATTTGCTGTATTTTCACTCATGAATTTTGCTGTTCACCTATTGGCATTTTCATCTTTTCTTTTTATCTTGTACAAACTCTGTTAAAAAAAATAATAGTCTTTTGTGTGTGTGTTGTCCTATTGTGGCTAAGAGCATTTTCCCTGGCTGTTGTTTCCCTTCTGAGTTAGGGGATTTTATTGTTGTTTAGTTTTGTTGTTAGTTTTTATTTCTTCATTCTAAGGCTTTGTATAGTCACCCTTGTCACAAGTCTGTGATTTTCTTCCATGGCCTCCAAGTTTAGAAAATTACTCTCCTATCCCTCAAGCAGCAGTCTGATAAATGCTTGATTCTGTTTGCACCCTGGCCTGGCTTTTTTAAGGTTGGTCTTTCTCCTAGCTGCCTTTTAACTCACCAGGGGCCCTCAGCACACTTTCCTACTTACCATAGCTGAATAAGCTTCCCTGTTATTTGCCGTTCCCCTCCTCCTGTAAGCTCATTTTTGTTCAGCAAATAGGACCCAGTTCTCAAGGCTCACTCTGCTCTACCCTGTATCAACTGATAACCTGCAGATTTGTTGTGTTTACTTATTTTTTGTTGTTGTTTTGGGGTTTTGTTTTTGTTTTTGTGGGCTTTTTTTTTTTTTTTTTTTTTTTTTGAGATAGGGTGTCACACTATAGTCCAGGCTGGCTTAGAACTCATTGTATAGCCAAGGCTGGCTGGCTTTAAACTCTGGGTAATCCTCCTGCCTCTTAGCTTCTCAAGTGTTGAGATTATAGGCATGAAATACCATGCTCAGCTTATAGTATATTTTAAGTGAGCATTTCTTCAAAATGTATCTGATAGGGATTCTTTTGTTTATAAATAGTACTTTGAAGATTTATTCATTTTTTATTTTATGTTTTGTGCCACCTGAATGCAGTGCCCAGAGAGGCCAGAAGAGGGCATCAGAATGCACCAAAACTAACACTAGAAATGGTCGTGAGCAGCCATGTGGGTGCTGAAACCAAACCCCTGCCCTCTGCAAGATCACCAAAGGCTCTCAACAGCTAAGCCATCTCTCCAGCTTCATTCTCCTCTTTTATTAGTTTAAAGCCTTTTTGTCTTCTGAAAATTCCTTTTTAGTTTGTGTCTGTTTGAATGTAAGTAAAATACTTCACAAACTTGGAGTTCCTTTGTGGAGAGGGAACAAGTCTTCGACGTGATTGTTCCCTATCTCAGTAGGCAGGAAAGCTCGTCCATTCAGGAATAAACACACTGTGTCTGGGATGGGGGTGGGGGAGGGGAAGCAGTTTACCAGAAGGAGAAGGGCCTCTCCTCACCAGGAGTTCCCCAAAGAGGGTATTCGCCATCCTCCATTCTCACTGATGAGTCTCGTGTGTGTGTGTGTGTGGGTGTGTGTGTGTGTGTGTGTGTGGGGGTGGGG